GTGCTACTAGGAAGAGAGCTGAGATGGCCTGGGAAACTGAGGGTCCTCACACACTTTGTGGGAGCTTGAGCTGTGTGCGCTTTCTGGAAGATGAGCGCTATAACAAAACAGAAAGACGTGGAGAGCTGTGCGCACCTCAGAGAAACACGCAGATGCCACGCCACAGCAAGTGCATGGAGATATTTGCTGCAGCGTTATGTATGATACGGGCAGAGGTGGAGGGGTCTTGTAGCCATTTCAATACTCATGTCTTTCAGTATAAAAACCAAGTAAACAGAAAACCAGCAAAGACTTAGAGCACTTGAATGTATCAGAAAACTCTACTTGGCTTATGATGCTCCACCCAACAAGAGAATGAACACTTTTTTCATGCGTGTGTTTGAACCATATTTGGGGCCACAAAACAAGGCTCAAATGTAAAAGGATTCAAGAAATACAATGCATAAACATTTCCTAACAAAAACAGTATTAAAGTAGCACTCAGTAACAGAAGGATATCTGCAAATACACAAATATTAGAAATTAAATAAAACACTTTTAAATAACTCAGGAATCAAAGAAGAGAATCAAAAGGAACATAAAGAAATTTTGAACTAAGTGGAGATGAAAATATGGCATGTTAAACATTGTAGGATACTGCTAAAGAAGGACTTTTTATCAGAAAATTCTGTATTAGGAAAGAAGAAAGGTTTTAGATCAATGACCCCATCTTCCACATTAAAAACTAGAAAAAGAAAACGGAACTAACCCAGCACAAGTAGAAGAAAGGAAAGAACCCAGATTTCAGTGGAAATCAATGAAATAGAAAACAAAAAATTTAGAGAAAATCCATAAAGCCAAAAAGCTAATTCTTAGTCTAGATCAATAAAAGAGGTAAATCACTGGCCTGATCATCAGGGCAAAAGGGAGAAGATACAAGTTACAAATATCAGGAACGAGAGGTGACATTATGATAGATTCAATAGACATCCAAAGCACAGTAAAGAAATATCATGAGCAACTTTTTTCTGAGAACTATGACTCCTTAGAGGAAAGGAGCAAGATCTTGAAATTGCCGGTCTCACTTAGTGCAAAAGTACAGACCTGAACGACCATGTGTCTGGGTAAAAAATTGAATTTTAGGTAAAAGCTTTCCCACCAAGAAAACTCAAGGTCCACATGTCTTCACTGATGAATTTAGCCAAACAAGACCTTTTTACAACCATATATACAACATATATACAACAACTATAACCAGTACTATCTTCCACACAAGCTTCCAGAATACTAAAAGGAGCACGCTCAAGTCATTCTACGAAGCCCATGTTTCCCTGCTACTAAAATCAGACATAAGAAAGTGACAGACAAACTACTGTCTCTCATAAACATAAATGCCACAATCTCAAATTTGTGCCAATTTGATCCAATAATCCATAAGAAAGATAGGTCACTATCACCAAGTGTGGTTTATCACCAAGTAGGTTGCTTTAACATTTGAAAATTAATAATTTGAATAAGAAAAACTAACCATACGATAATCTCAATAGATGCTGAAAGTGCGTTTGACAGACCTGGTATCCATGCTCATTAAAACTTGCAGCAAGTTGGTAATACAACCCCACCTGCTAAAGGAAATCTACAAAAAATAGCGAACATCATATCTCATGGTGAAAAACTAAATGTTTTCTAACTAAGACTAGCAATGAGGCAAGGATGCTGTCCCTTCTACTTCTACACAGCATTGCCTGGAGACTCCTCAGTGCACTTAGTCTAGGTTGGAGGAGAAATTAAGGAGGTGTAGGTCGGAGAAGAAATTAAGCTATTTCATTTGGAGATAATCTTATCTATGCAGACAATCCGATGGAGACCACAGGAGTTACTAGAAGAAATAATTAAGCCTAGAAAAGTTGCACAGTGGAAGACTACCCCACTTGAAAATCAGCACTCACTGCCTCCCCCCCCCACTTCCTCTTAGCTGCTTTTTGCCCAACACGCGCACTAATCTTCCATGCTATACTCACTTTTTTGCAAAGCTCTCTTCCCCCTCCCCTATACACTTAAAGCTCCACAAGCGAGGCATCTGATCCCGTCTCCTGCTGCACTCCCCGTCCCAGGTTGTTCGCTTTTAGACACTCAGCACCCAGGTGGTGAATGAATGAGCAGCACTCCTAACAAGTTGCTCCTGGGCTGGGTGTCTAGAAGTGCATCCCTGCATGGTGCGACGTTACGTAGCAGTGAGACGAGGGTGGAGGAGCTATTCACGGTGCCGGTCCTGTAGCACAAATGGGGCTCAAGGAAGGCTCCATCTGAACAGCATCTCCAAGCTCCCTGGTGGATTCCTTTGGCCTTAACTCGAAGGGGCCTCAAGAAGGATGGGGGATTCTTCCAGCAGCTCTGCTGTGTCTCCTGAAGCTCTGAGGTCTAGTAGTGTCTCTGCAGGGCACGACCAGGAAGCAGAGCTCTACTGGTGCCTCCCCAGTGCATGACCTGGAAGTAGAACCTATCCTTCTTCCCCTCCCCTGTACCATTGTCCTGAAGGTATTAAGTCAGAAACAGAGGAGGTTGGAGAATGTGGGAAGGATTTAATTGATCATCATCTTAATTTCCACTGACTTTTAAAGAAAGTTTTAGGTAGGAAAGTTTCAGGTAGAAATGTTTAATAAATCAGAGAATTCTGGCTTACTCTTGATACATTTTTGAACCTTGAACATTAGCAACATGAACAAAATTTGAATGAAAAAATTCCCAGAGTTAGGTGAAAAATTTACTTTCCTATTTGTGTGTGTAATTAATGCTGAGGACTGAGCCCAGGGCTTTGCGTCTGTTGGGAAGTGCTCCCCGCAAACTCCGTCCCCAAGCCCTATCTTCCTAATTCTCATTTCAACTTCAAGTCTAGTTCATGCCAATGTAGAAGCTTAAAAAACTGTCACTAGACATAGAAAGATGTCTAAGAAATGCTAAGTAAATTAAGGAACAGAGCAAACACAGACAGCAGGCATTCAGTTATATAAAATAAATTGTACACATACAAGAGAATGTATTGGCAGTTGTTCAAATGAATGTCAGCACAAGGGTGGAACTGTGGAGGGGTTCTGTTTTTATGTTAAGCACTTCTATAAAGTTTGAAGATTTTACATTAAATGTGCATGTATTATATTCACAGTCTCTGAATAATCACAGTATTTTCATTTTAGGGGAAATCCCATAAAGAAAATGGAAGAAGGAAACATTTGCTGTTATTTTGGATCTTTTAAATATTCTAAACAGGCAACTTGTACACATAAATTAAGAACTAGAAGATTCTTTTGTTTTTCATCAAACCACCTTATTATTATAAGAATACTTGAAAAATAAGTACTGAAATCAGCTTTCCTAACCCTTCCATCCAGTGTGCATTGTTTCCTCTTGGCAAACACGCATTTGCATGACTCTAGCCAGGCTGGACAAACGCATGTGTGTCAAAGATAAGCTCAGGATCAAGGAGAAAGCCGATCCCTTTCCACTGGGAACCGGGAGGAGAATGGGGAGACACAGTGATCTTGCTCAAGGGCATCTTTCTGCAGCAGCGTTGTTTTGGTTGATGGAATTTGTCCTGTGAATGAGGCCGCCCAGGGAAGTGGGATGTGCCAGGCTGCAGACCGTGGTGTGATGGGAATTCTTGGAAGCCCACTGACCTGAACCCTGCGTGGTGAGGATGCTTGAGATCCCACCTCAGAGCCTCACTCGGGCAGCAATGAAACGCTGCTGCAGGAGGGCTGGCCCAGCGGCTGTGCGGGTCTGATTAGCTCGTTTCCTTTGAGGCCTGGACAACCTGGAGGAGGCATTTGAAGCCATGGTACTGCCCCATATGATTAGCCATGCCGCTATGGCCAGGGCAGCGGTGGCACTGCTCAGCGTGGATGTGGCAGGGGTGTTAGCTCCCGCCTGTCTTGCTGGCTGAAAACACCCCTTTATTTTACTCGAGCCACCTCTCTGCCTGTGTGTGACACAAGTGAAAGTGACCCAGTGCATCACACCCTCGGGTGGGGGCTCACAAGGCTTTCTTCTGGGTGACACAGTGTGTACCGTGATTATATTACGTCACATGAGAAGACTCAAGTCTTAGTCCCCTAAAGCCAGAGAGCTGTCAAGGAAGTGAGTTCCGGCCCCACCCTGTGTGGGGGGAAGGAGGTTCTTCCCGGGATCTCCTGTGCAGGGCACGCCACAGGAAGAACACAGAAGAACAGGAAGAACACAGAAAGATTTGATACAGATAGGCGGCATCGGCAGCGGGAGAATGGCCCTTTCTCCTTTAGGAAACTTTTGTGGGAGATGGACATCAGATCCTGTGGCAGGCAGAGCCCTGGGTTTCCCACCCGGTCTCTACAAGCGCACCCTCGGGTTGTACAGGCCGGGTGTCACCTGCCAGGACAAGGCCCTTGCGGTCACCTATTGTTACATAAAAAAGGTCTTTGTATTTCAGGCACAGCCCAATTAATGACATAATTTTCTTTTAATAATCAAAATGAGGCATCACTGTTTGATTTAGTGTGGCATGATTCAGGAAAATACTACCAGAATCCAACCCAGCAACTGCAAAGTAATTTGAGTCTTTAATCTTTTAACCCAATCTAAGTTAATGAAATGTGCTGTTAATAACTGATCCATTTTTTCACTATTAATGTAGTTATATAAACAAGCTTCTGCATCAGCCTGAAAATCAAATTCTCAACGCACTCGATACTGTTGGCATAATAAAGTAATAAAATATATCTCAACTTAATAAACAACCTTGTAATCACATTTTAACCACTTTCCTCTTGAGACTGCAGGAAAGCAAACATTCTGCATCCTCAGAAAATCTGTGATCCCTGCCCTTCATTTGAAGAGGAAGGAAGAGACGTGGGTCCTGGGAGAGTTGTCCAGGGCAACACGTCCCTCGGCCGCTGCCTGGGGCTGAGCAGCAACTTTGAGAAGCAGAATGCGACTAGCGGAAGAAGGGATGTCGGGGAGAGAGGGCTGGGTGACTCCGGGCCTCTTACCTGGACATCGCAGCTCTATTCCAGGTCCTGGGTGCCCAGGGACGCCATATAACTAACTCATCAGCCACCGAGTGCATGTTTGAAGGGCGATTATTAGTATACATGCCAGGACTGCAGACTTCCAGGGACCAGGATGTGGGCTCACCCTGCCACTGCGGGCTAAGAGGTCCATATTCCCATCCGTGGGGCTCCTGCCTATGTCCTTGTGTCCCCGGCCTCTGTCTCAGTGTGTTGATAGCAGCACCAACAGCTGTGTTGGTGGCAGGTATTGGTTTCACTCTGCGGGGGAGAGATGGAAAAATATAGTGTGGGTGTGTCTTCACCCAGGACCTTGGGAGGGCCCCGAGGGGTCATGGAGCTCACATCAAAGGGCACAGTGCTGATGGTAGCTCTGTGAGTTCCCCATGTCCAGGCCTCCGTGCACACCCTGTTGTCTATGGTGGGACACAGGGCAGACAGGCTGGGGTGTGCCAGGCTGCTGGAAGGCACAGGTGGCCTGCTTGAGGCCAAGCAGTGGGTCCAGACACATGAGCCAGGTCACCTCATCCTGTGTCCACAGCCCTGGGGACACATGGGCATGTTCTCCTGGAGCACAGACTAACACAGTGAGGTCAGGTGCATCTGAACCCTGGAGCGGTGGTCACTTGGAGTCACCACCATGGGGCTAGTCCCACACGTGTCCTGAGGGGCAGGGGCAGAGCTTGAGTCAGGGACAGTGAGCCTCAGGGAGGAGGCAGAGGAGGCTCAGAAGCAGAGGCCAGAGGGAGAGACCAGGGGCCTGACAGTTTGTGTTCCCCCAAATCTGTGTGTTGGAATCATCATCCCTGAGGTCGCGAAGTCTGGAGCGATGCGTTAGGCTCTTGTGCAAGGGCTGGAGAGCTGCCTTGCTTTCCACCGTGCTCAAGAAGGCATTGCCCGAGAACAGGAGGTGACTCTCACCTGCACCTGCTCCGGGGCCTGCGACCTGGGACTTTCCAGCCCTGGCACCGTGAAAAACAAATGTCTACTGCTTACCCCAGGTTGCGGTATTTCCTTTGCAGCAGCCTGAACTAAGACACCAGGGAGAGGAGGCAGGCGGGGAGCAGCTGCCCTGCCACTCACGGTGGCTGAGGTTCTTCCGGCACCTCAGGGCCAGGAGAAGCCCGCGTTCTTCCAGCAGAGGTCCTCCGCAGGGCCTCTTTCCCACACACAGGCTCAGTCAGGTCCCTGGGTCTTCTCTGTCACCAGCACCACGGGGATCGGAGCTCTGAAGGTGACATCGAGGGCCCCACATGCTTCTCCATGTCTCCTCCTGGTGCTGCAGGGTGCCGTGTCCTTCCCTGGGCTCCAGGAATCTGCCCAAGGCCACACAGCCGAGAAGCGGCAGGCTGGACGCTGGCTGGGGCTGTGCTTTTGGCGGGGAGCCCCAGGAACAGCCAGACACGGCCCCGCGGTGCCAGCCTCGCTGTGCAGCCCGTCAGCTTCCGCTGCACCCCCACCGTGCCAGGGATGCTTAGTCCTCCACGTGCCAGCCCTGGGTCCACTGCAGACGCCATCGCAGGAGGTGGCCTGGCCCATGCCGAGCCCATCCTGGAGCTGCCAGGGAGAGGCCAGACCGCAGCAGAAGGGCCAGGCCTGTGGTTGGGCTCCTGCACACTCTGGCCGCCCTCACCCCCTGCATTGTGACCCCAAGGGCTGCCCTGCCCCCAGCTGCTCCCAACCTGTGAGTCCCCATGGCTTGAGAGGATAGGAGGAGCAAGTCCTACTCCGTCCAGACGGGGGCCATGGCGGGCGGCCAGGCCACCCCTCTGCCTCGTGCCTGGAGACCACACTCACACTTCACTGTCGTCCCACGTCTCAGCCTGTCGCCACCCTGCACTGGACCCTGCGACATCCGTGGATCGCTCCTGGGAAGGCTCCTGGGAAGGGGCGCAGTTTCTCATGGCTGGGAGAATTAAGGGCATGCAGGGCACTCCGCACACCGCAGGCGCTTTGGGGTGACAGCCTGTCAGATCCAGACTTACCTAGGAGGGGCGGTCTGTGGGCAGAGGGAAGCCAGGGGCAGGCATGGCGGGTGCTGGTGCCCAGCCTACCTGCTGTGTGGCCCCACGCTCACTGCTCTGACCTCCTGTGACCCATTCTGCTGCAGTGGTCTGTGGGGACAGTCGGGCGCCCAGGGCATCAGCAGGCCGCGGCTCCAGCTGCTCCTGTGTGCTGTGGCTCTGCTGGCGTCCTTGCCGTGGTGCAGCTTCGTCCCCGTCAGGAACCGAGAAAGCAGCACATTACTCTGCCAATCAGGGCCATTTGCATTTTAAGGCTGGCCGAGACACCACTGATCTCTGCCCCTGGGACTGGAACCACAGCCGACCACACAGGACTCACTGGGAACAGTCCTCCTCGCCTCTGCACTTTGGATCAATGGCTTTCCTCCCTCCTGGCCCCGGGCCAGGAGAGCAATTTCACCTGGCAGCATTTGTGAGGCTCAAGGCTGCTTGGAGACGGAGCCATTACCAGGTTCTGCTCCAGAGCCGAGAGGGCCCAGCATCAGGCCCCCCGATGGCTCCCGAGTGGCAGCAGCCTGGAAGCCACACTTCGGGTCTGAGGTCCATTCGGGGCTCTTTCTGGGACATTTATTGGTGGCTTTAGGAAAAGCTGCCTCTGGCGGGGGTTCTCACAACACCTGCCTGGCCCCGATTCTGTGTGCAGCAGGCCACCACCACACCGGGGGGCTGACCCTTCCCTCCATCCTCCCCAGCACAAGGGAACCCCGGGGCCCTGCCCCAGAGTGGGCAGGAAGGCGTGGGGCGCCTAGGCCAGGCAGGCCCTGCACTCTGGAGCTCTCTGAGGAGCACGTACTGTATTGAAGGCACCTTATCCGAGCCCCGCCGGGACAGTGAGTTCAGCACATCGCTGCCATTCGAGCCCTGGGGTCATTAGCTTTGCTAATGCTCCCTTCTAGCCAGATGTCACCCTGGGTCCTTGCTACACGTGGCGGCAAGGTGATTCGCAGGAGACCAACGACAGGAAATGTGCACAAGCTGCGGGGTGAGCCTGGGCGCGGGGCCTGCGATGCCAGCCAGGCAGAGGCCTCTGCCCACATGCATGCCCAGCCCTGGCTTCTCTCCACCCCGCCTGGCCCCTGGGAGTTGATGAGGCCGTTAGTCACCATGCCACCCATCGACTCCCGGCAAATTGGTCAAAATCAGTTCCCTAAAAAACGGATTCTGTGGCCAGGTGAGCGAGGATGGGCCGAGGCCTGCCAGCCCCCCAGGCGGGAGGGAGCCGCCCTCCACACAGGGCAGCAGGCTGGGAGGGAAGGGCAGCGGGCACAGGGCTCCCACACAGCCAGCCTGGCGGGACTGGAAGGACTGAGGAAACCCGAGGGTGGTGGGCGGTGGCCCTTGCTGAGGCTTAGAGCAGGCCCTGGCCTTCTAGCAGCAGAAGACCTGGAGCTTCACATCTTCCTGCCCAGAACCCCTGCCACATGCCGGGGACCCCATGTCAGCATGCACCCCAGGGCACACATACACCCTGCTTCCCACTGGCCTCTGAGTCTCCCGAGATCTCGGGGGCCAGCCCCGCCCACCAGCCCCTCTGTCCTCCCTCCCTGGGAAAGGGTCTGGGGTCTTGGGGCTGGGGAAGAGGGCTGGATGGGTGCTGGGGCTTCTCTGTTCTGCCCACTGCATGCTGTGCCAGGCTCTGAGCTCCGTTCAGGCTTCCGGAGGCTCTGGAGGCCAGCTCCTCCTCCAGCCATCTCCCACCAGGATGGGGCAGCCTCAGTTTCCCTCTAGGACCTGGTGGGGCAGCGCCTGTAACACAGACCTTGCCTTTGGAGGGTCGTGACAGGTTTGTCAAGGGTCTGCCTACAAACACAGGGGTTCTGAAATTCTGCTTTGCACATTTCCTTTCTTTTAAAAAGGAAAACATGGTGTATGCTGCATTTCTAGTTGTGGACACGGCCGGCCCTTGCAGACCCATCGTGAGAACCACATCCTCCATGCCCAACGCTGTCCAGAGTGGCTCTGGACCGCAGGTCCACCCTGCCCCTCTCAGCCCAAGCACTTCTGGTACTGTGAGCTTTGGACACCTTGGCAAGGTGAGGTGACAATGTCCAAGGGGAGTGGCATCGTGAGCAGCCCCGCTCCTGGAAACCCACTCACAGCCTTGGGGGACAGCTCCGCCCATGGTGGCTGCAAACCTCACATGGGTCCCCCAGAGTCCACACCAAGTGCCTGGTGCCAGCCCAGACTGGACATGGCGGAGGCAGGTGGGGCTGCAAAGATGGTAGGCTTCACTGGTTCCCCTTGTCAGGGTTCTGTGTTGCGGGGGTTAGGTTTTGTTTTATTTTGCTTTGCTTTGGAAGATTTGGGAGTGAGCTCCCCACTGCGCCTTCTGGAGCCCTGTGCTTCCCGAGCTCGGGCCCTGCCAGGCCCCGCATCCCCCGTTGTCAGAGTTGATGCTGTAGAACTGAGACCAAGAGTTCGAGACACACTTCCTGATGTTCACACCGAGGCTTAGGGTGCTACCACTCCCCGGGTCCACCCAGAGGACAGCTGAGGTGTAGCGTCTGGAGCTGTGACCCTGCTGGGAGGTGCCGGCTGTGTGAGGCCCCTGGAACACAGGGGCTGTCCTGAGCCGGGAGGCCCTGGCGTCTTGTGGGGCAGTGCTCGCAGTGCTGTCTGGCTCCCTACCGCGCGGCTGGCTCCCTCCACAGAAGATGGTCGGCCAGGGCTGCAGTGGGAGGTCCAGACCCGAGTCAGTGTCCTCACGTCACTCAGTGGGAAAAGACAGTGGGGACGTGAGTGTGCCCTGGGCTGCTTCGACAGCAGAGCCAACACTGGCAGCCTGGGCAGGGTGGGGACGGGTCCTGTCCAGCCACCATTCCTGCTGAGAGTCACTGGAGAGGGCAGCGGTGGGACGCGGGCGGCAGACCTAGAGTCTTGTCCCAACCCCCCAAGCTGTCTCTCCGGCTGCGGGTTTGCACATGCTTGCTGTTCGCTGGGCCAGCACTGGCACCAGCCTGGGCCTAACCCATGGTTCCACTTTCCAGGCCGCGGCTGGAGAGCAGCCCCGCAGCCGTCCAGGGAGCAGATTTAGCACAGGCTTTATTTCTGAGCCGTGAGTCTTGGCCTGCTGGGGGCAGCGTGCGCTCCTGACTCCCCACGCTCCGGCTCTCAGAACCACTTCCCGGATGGATCAATGGACCCAGAATCTAGGACAACCGGCCCCGAGTGAGAGGGGCAAGCTGCTCTCTCTCTTTCATCTCTCCCTTTCCACCAAGCGCCAGGGAAGGACAGCCAGAAAGTCAGGGGGCAGTGGGCGGCGCGTGGCCTGTCGGGAAGCTACCGGGGC